GTTGTATATATAATTTAAAATGACGTGTAAATATAAATATACAATGTACTTTTAATACGGAAAATTTTCAAAAATATGACTTAATCTTAGTTTATTATCAGACAGAATATTAGGAGATTTTTCTCCAACAGACAAGGACAAAGCGCGTTTTACAATATGCCAAGCCTTTTCCAGCCACACAAGATAGAGAAAAAATGTAGTGGCGGATCTAGAGGGAATATGGGGATTTCAACATCCTCTGAGCGAGCGAGGAGCCCCACATAGTTGTTACGTTTTATTTAAAGTTAAACTATCTCTAATTAGATAAGTTTAAACGTTAGTTTTGATGGTTAAATGTTAAAACTACTTAAACATCAAACTTCCGCCAGAGTTCGTTTGTACAAATGAATCTGAGTGCGGGGACGCAGAGGACTATGAGTAAGTTGCTTAAATACATTGTACATGTAGAAATGTACAGGTATTATGTACTGAAGAAAACCCTGGAATGTCGCATTCAAATGTTTAATGTCATAGGGATATATATTAACAGATAAATATAAGAATTTAGTTTCTAATTGTATTATGAAAGAATTAATAATTGGTTTGCGGCCGATTTTTGACGCTTGCGTCAATATGTTTCTTGTGTACATCATATATGACCTAGATTCTTCACTTCGACTCTGCTCTGTACTGGCTCTGTTAATTGGCTTCATGACGTGTATGAGTTTTCTAACGCCTACTGAGTACAAATTGGACAATTCCAAAAATTACCAGCACCAGCCAGCAAACTGTACAAATTAGGGATGTCAACGAATATTCGAGTACTCGACGATCGTTCGATCATACTGACTATCCTCTAAAATTTCTTTAGTCGATTATTCGTAAAAAATGTGTTTCATGAAAGTAATTTTGAATTTAAGGTAATAAACTTAGATTTGCCCATTTCATTTATTTACAGATCAATATTTTCATATGTAAAATTAATAAGGGTATAGTATAACGGTTAAAAAAGCAGATTGGGAAAGAAAATAAAACATGTTTAGTAATGATTGTCTACCTCCAAAATTTTAAATTTGGGTCCATTATGAGAGTAATTAAACTATGTTTTCTTTATATATATATATAAATATATATATATATATATATATATATATATATATATATATATATATATATATATATATATATATATATATATATATAAAGCACTAAAAATGACCAACGACACGAACAATAAAAATTGTCAAAATTTTCGGGACGCCCTGTCCCTTCCTCAGGACAAAGAAAAGAGTTAAAAAGTCTTAAGAACAAAGGAAAAAGCGAAACAAAAAACAACTAGCACTACTACTAAACTACTAAACACTATATATTTACATACTAAGTTACATGTTGATTTGGAAATTTTTAAGAACACTATTAAAGAAAGAATCCGGACCGCTATGAAATGCGTCCGGTCTATCGGGTATACTCGGGTGAAGTGCGATTTACATAATTGAACGAATTAATTATGCTAATTAATTACGACAATCAGTAAATCGTACATTGTTTCATTCTCTCAAAATGGCGTAACTATACTTGATAAAGAATAACCAAAGAAAAATAATATAGAAGGGGCATTTTAACATATGAATTATGATCTATTATAAATTTTAATTTGAAATGTTTTAGGACTGATTATCGGTAAAAAATAATTAATAATTAATTAACAAAGGCGTAAGCAATACATAGTTATGTGGGTTGTTCGAGAGTTGGTGACGCAAATTAACTGTAGAGTTTACACTAAATTGAGAGAATAATCTTGTTTAGTATCATCAGGCATCGGGTCTAGTTTACGTTCATTCTTAAGAACCTAAGCGGTATCCTTCAAAAGAACCTACCAATTCTCCATTCAAACAAACGAATGGCAGAGGTCTTTAAGGAACCCCCATTGGCTGCATACAGACGCCCTAGGAACCTAAAGGACATGGTAGTAAGAACCAGACTGGACAACCCATTACCTAACGGGGGCTTTAAGACTTGCTCTGACAGAAGATGTCTTCTTTGTAAGCACAGCACTGACACAGACAGTTTTAACAGCCCTGTTACAGGCCGCAGCTACAAAATACTAGGAAGTTTGTCCTGTCATACTGACAACTGCATTTATCTCATCAGTTGCAAAGTTTGCTCCAAACAGTATATTGGTGAAACAGGAGATCTCCGCAGGAGAGTCAATAACCACCGTTCGACCATTAGGACCAAAAAACTCAATGAAACCGTTGGGGAACATTTCAACCTTGAGGGTCACAAATGGGAGGACATGACAGTAGTGGTGATTGATCATAACCCAAGATGGACAGACGCTCAGAGAAAAAGCAAAGAAAAGTTCTGGATGCACAGATTGAAGTCATTCCGCCCCAATGGTATTAACAAACTGAATGACTTCACCAGAATGAACGTAAACTAGACCCGATTCCTGATGATACCAAACAAGATTATTCTTTCAATTTAGTGTAAACTCCACAGTTAATTTGCGTCACCAACTCTCGAACAACCCACATAACTATGTATTGCTTACGCCTTTGTTAATTAATTATTAATTATTTTTTACCGATAATCAGTCCTAAAACATTTCAAATTAAAATTTATAATAGATCATAATTCATATGTTAAAATGCCCCTTCTATATTATTTTTCTTTGGTTATTCTTTATCAAGTATAGTTACGCCATTTTGAGAGAATGAAACAATGTACGATTTACTGATTGTCGTAATTAATTAGCATAATTAATTCGTTCAATTAAATCGCACTTCACCCGAGTATACCCGATAGACCGGACGCATTTCATAGCGGTCCGGATTCTTTCTTTAATAGTGTTCTTAAAAATTTCCAAATCAACATGTAACTTAGTATGTAAATATATAGTGTTTAGTAGTTTAGTAGTAGTGCTAGTTGTTTTTTGTTTCGCTTTTTCCTTTGTTCTTATGACTTTTTAACTCTTTTCTTTGTCCTGAGGAAGGGACAGGGCGTCCCGAAAATTTGACAATTTTTATTGTTCGTGTCGTTGGTCATTTTTAGTGCTTTTTATAAATTTCCATCCGTGACCTTGTATCTACTTGATAGATCCGACATTTAGGATATACAGTGTTGTTGGTTTTTTTAGTGCTTTATATATATATATATATATATATATATATATATATATATATATATATATATATATATATATATATATATATATATATATATATTAATTACATACAATCATTGATTATTTGCACAAAATTTCATAATTAAAAATTATCCCAAGCTCTCGCTCTCTCTTTGTTTTTATAAGAGACACACTTTAATTGTTTAAACGGACACGCAGAAATTGGCTTTAATTCTGTTCTATCGTTATGTAAAGAAAGGACAATTACGAGCGTTTGTTATCCTGAATTTAGATAAAACGTACAGCTGATATATTAATTTTGAAATTAAATGCATTGGATACATATTGATGTACAATTTTTATTGTATTACGTACATGTTTACAATTTAGAAAATCGTTTTATAATGGTGATAGCGCAGGATGAATATTGTAAAATAGTCTGTAAAAGACAGTGAAAATGATATGAATAAATAATTAAAATTAAACGAATATTCGACTATCGTTCGACTAAAGCCTCCGACCATTCGACTAAGCTGTCCGAGTAAAACTGACATCCCTAGTACAAATCCATGAGGCATTCTGAAATTGAAGAAAAAAACCAAAACAAATTGATTGAGTTAATTTATTGTTATTCAAAAGGTAATACTCACTTTCATAATTTGGTTGAATCATTCCTAGAGCGCTTTCTTAGGTACCATCTGAGGTGGGATCAGGTACCATGGAGGAGTGAACATCTCCAGCCGACAGTCACACTCGCGATCGCGTTTTAATTGAAAAACTTCAGTCAGCATTTGACTCAATGATAAATTGAATTTGCTGACGAGGTCATTTTATCGACCATAGAACTTAACAAATGATGACTTTAAACGACACTGCTGATATTTTTGTTTTATCAATTTGTTTGTTAATAATTTACCTCGTTTTAGAAATTGTTCATACATGCTCCTGCGTATCAAATCATCTGAGATACATAACCTCCTTATGCAGGTGATGAAGGTATATTGCTTCAAAAGTAAGGGAAGTTGACTACAGAAATATTAAAGTCATCACGTTTATCATAGAGCTTGGTTGTTTGATTATGATTAACATCTTTTTCAAGTGAAAATACCCAAATGTGAAACAGATGTGTCAGACTCTGTGGTATCTTACATCTGAATGTCACCAGGATATATCGTTTAGACATAAGAATGGAAATTACAATTTTTAATTGACAATACGTATTAGATATATCTGAATGTCAAGTTGAAGACCAAAGCAAGTGTTTTGCGCAAAGTTAATAAGATTTTGCACACATTCTACCTCATATGAATACAAAAAGAGGTCTGCTAATAACGGGGCGCAATTGGTCATGGTACCCATGGGAATTCCAATAGATTGTTGGAAGACCTGGTCTCCAAAAACAACATATATATTGTTAATTAGAATCTCAAGCATCTTTCCGATGTCGACCTCAGACTACTAAAATATCAAAACTGTAAGAAAAGTCTAAAAAAAAAAGAAAAAAAAAACTCCGATATTTCATACTATCCCGAAACTAATATTTGTGACAAGGGAATTTTACTCTTTTCTTGCTATTTTTTTTTCAAAGTTAATTTATTTTTACTTCAAGTAAGAATGCAGACGATAGAGGAATAATACACTGTACTGCATAAGGGGGTTTAACAATAGAAATTGTTGACTAGTTGATGAAGTCACACTGATTATTAAAGTATGTCATCATTTCTCATCATATTGCTGGGAAACTCTTGTTAATCTGATTTAGTTTTTATTTGGTTTTTATTTTGCTTCTATACAACTGGAAAATATAGATTCCTTTTTGGCACAGTATTAAAACGGATGGGTTTGCTAATGTCCTTGGTTTGTAAGGGGAGACGTCTACAGTATTAATTCTTACCTGGGAAAATACTTGTGTTCCCCTTTCGTCAAGGAGTCACACATCTCTTTAAAACCAACACCGACCATACAGGAGGCAACAAGCATGAGAACTGTCACAACTGAGTTCAGCAGGATAAATGGGAAAACCCACATCTGTGACCTAAATATAACACAGGGTTTCCAGACATCATTAACCCTATCTGAGACTCTAATAAACATTCTCATCAAATAAAGATAAGTATCAATATTTAAATTACACATGTATTTTGAATATAAAGCGTCTGTGCATTTACGGCATTGCAAGGCATTACGGTCCTTGCATTGAAAACGCAATAACATGGATACGGTATCAAAAGGATAAATGTTACGTTTTATTTTGACGTCACAAATGTTGAACACCTTGGAAGTACAACGTCAAAAACGAAAACCACGCTTACATTGAGCAGAAGCTGTAGCGTTGGCTCTTCCATCAACCGTAGCTTATCCGAAGGATAAATGCATTCACAAATTTAATTCAATATGTTAGTCCATTATTTTTACACTTGACGACGAATTTCTCCGTTATTTCCCGATCATGACAAGGAGCACAGAGCAAAAAATATGATCGGTCGACAGGGGATGCTCACTCCTCATTGAAATTTGATCCAACCTCTGATGTTTTGAAGGTCCGTGTTTGCTCTGCTACTATTTTGTTCAGATTTATGTATTTTGATATTGCGTGAATGCTGTTCGTTATCTCCATATATTTCATGGATTTTGAAATATAAATCACATTTGCTGTCAATGCAGAGAGTTAAAAAATGTCAATATAAACATTAAAGCATTATTTTGTAAAGATATAGTCTCATAACAGCAGCGGTGTGTGCAAACAAATTGAGTAATTAATGCGTTAACAATATATTGAAAATAGCTTACAGTCGATACCTCTCTCGATTATGAAGATATCTTTCTAATAAAACACAATTAAAAGACACGCAAATTAAAATTTTAGTCCTTCTACTTGTTCTAAATATTGAAAGAGAGAGAGAGAGAGACTCACACAATGGATGGGTCCCTCTTGGCTTTATAAATGGTGTACGAGTTGTAAATCGCCATCCCAAGAGCGTAAAAGATGCAAAAAATTACACCACTGTAAATTGGGAATTCACAGTTGGATTTGTTGCTATACGCCAATAAATACCTCTGGGAGTGGTACGTTTTAAGGTTGGCGTACTACAAACAACCGTCTGAACTATTCTGTGAAAAGACAATAATGAAATAATAGGATACGTAAACGATGTAAATGGTTTACTTTTAAATCTTTAAAATTTCTAAATTTCCAATCTTAATTGCGTGTCAGTAGGAAAACTAGACGACGTCACGTTTAAAGTTGTAAGAATTCAATATAATTAAAGTTTATAATTATCTGTAATTGTTTTCTTATATACACTAGCAGAAATACTTCCTACTGATAAATCAATGCATATTCATATTCAATATTTATACAGCGATGTGTTTTTATGGATTAATGGTTTAAGAATTCAAGGCTTGAAACTTTATCACGAATTTAATTTAGTCGAAGTGCTTTTTAAAATTAATTTATTTTATTGTAATTTTCATATGGACGTCTTCAACCACATTACATACTGTACACATGTAATAGCTTGACGTTTACATGTACCAAGTACATACATGTATATATTGGGCAGTTACATTATAGTTTTATTTTCACCGTTTTCGCGACTTGTAATATCTTCGTAAAATAAATAGCGAATGCAGGTATCGGAAAACGTAAGTACCTGTCTCAAAGCACAAGCCTTTAGCGTGAAATTAAAACCCTTGCGGCATGTACCCTTGAATGGAATCTTTAACTATTAGCGACATGAAATTGAATTGAATGCCTTAGCAATAATAAAAAAAAATACCCCGCTATACATTATAAGGGACTTATAATGTATAGTGGGGTATTTTTTGTGGAGCGATTGTTTTGGGGTTTTGACGATTTTTTCATATTGTACACATGATGAATAAGTGTAATAAATATAATTTTTGAAAAAAATGTCCAATAAGCCCCGGGGTTGAATATCGGGGGGGGGGGGGGGGGGGGGGTCCTGTCCACAAGTACCTGTGGTCAAAACTTGCAATTTCTGCCAATGTCTCTAAGCATTTGTATAACATAGCATGAAGGATATGGAGAAAACGAACAGAATTCAATACAAAGTCCATAAAACATTACAAAATATAGGGGTAGAGCAAACATGGGCCTTAACAAATGGTAATTTCCATTCCTATGTCGATACATGTACGATATATCCTGGTGAGCTTGAGATAAAAGATACCAAAGAGTCTAACACATCTGTTTCATACTTGGATATTTTACTTGAAATAGACGTTAATGGTGATCAACAACCAAAGCTCTATGATAAAAGTGATGACTTTACCTTTTCTATCGTCAACTTCCCTTACTTATGTAGCAATATACCTTCATCACCTGCATACGGTGTTTATGTATCTCATTTGATTCGATACACAAGAGCATGCTCTTCTTAAGAACAATTTCTAAAACAAGGTAAATTATTGACAAACAAGTTGAAGAAACAAGAATATAAGCTGTCTCGTTTCAAGTCATCATTTCATAAGTTGTATGGTCGATACAATGACCTTGTCAGTAAGTACAATTTATCATTAAGTCAAATGTTGATCGACTGACGTTTTTCATACTAATTGTTAGTTCATTATTTATTGTATTTGCTGAAAAGATCATTGTATCGACCATAGAACTTGCGAAATAATGACTTAAAAATGAAATAAGACTGCTGAAATTCTATATAATTATATTTTTTTTATTGAAAAAGCAACTGAATACTGCTCGTTATCTCCATATGTTTCATTAAAAGTTAGCTGCAGATCTGTAGCTCTCCGAAAAAATATATGGGTCAATATAAAAAAAAGCAGCTAAATGTGTCACTTCTTTGTAAAATCCTATTTCTTATTTTCTCCCAATTTTGGATTGTTGCTTTACAATCTATGACATCTGTACTTTCTATTTACTAATAGAAATTTTCACATAATTAATTTCATTAAAGTCAATGGCTGATTTTATCACACCAATCAGCCAAATTCATGCTGTCAATGGAATTTTTCTCTTCAAATAAGGATAAATACGCCAAAAATTATATGAAATTTTGTCTGAAAAATCATGTATACATGTACATAAAATAAATGTTAAATAGAATATATCTTTGAATAAAAAAATATGAGCCCCTCCTTCCATTTAACTGATACAGCATTTAATATGACTGACTGTGTACAAGAAAGTTGTGTCATTGGTGTTACTATTTTTGTTTTTGCTACAAAAGAGTTATCATTCCTGATAAGAAAATATAAACAGTCCTAAGTCATATTACATCACTTCTCACCAAAAACAACAGAAACTGCTCCTTGATATTCATGATCAGAACATATTAATGGATTCAGAAGTAAAAAAGTACACTAGTACAAACTTTTTTTGTCAGTGGTGTTTCCATCGTTATTTCAAAACGATTTCAGATATTCATTGAACTCTTTTACGAAAGATGTTCTTTAGGGAAACTAAAAGCAATGTTGACAAAACTTTTACTTTATCCAGGGTAAATTAGAAGTATTAGATCATTTTATGACTAATACGTCATTGGTGTTACGGTCATTGGCATTACTTTCTAAAGTTTAACACCAATGACAGGAATGGTTACACCATTGACAAAACAAGTACTTTTGGAGGCAAAATATATTCTTCTTATATTGAAAAATTATTTATTTGTATTCTATTTGCAAACCTAATTTATGGTATTTGAAAGTAATTGATTTATTTTCCAATAAATATTTTTTTTTCCACGTACGGAAGTTTTAAATATCTGGTAATGCCAATGACAACTTCAGATCATATACATGTATTGTATAACACCAATGACAAAACATTTTTTATGCTCAAAAAATATATTTTCCCTTCTGAAAAATTCACTGGCCATGCATGAATGTCAAAGTTTATCACCTAAGTAAAGTAAAATTAGTCAAGTTTAACTTAGTTTGTATAAATCTCTCTACGAATAGTTAACTTTTATGGTAACACCATTGACTGGTGAAGTAACACCGGTGACAAGAGATTTTGATTAATACATTTTATCTACTAGTTCTCTAATGAAGAATGTGGGATTTAAAACATCATATCCTTCACAATTGAGACCCTTTTACCCTACAAACATTATTTTTTTTTTCAAACCAATGATTAACAAACACTGCATATCTCTTGTCACCGGTGTTACTTCACCAGTCATTGGTGTTACCATAAAAGTTAACTATTCTGTCACTGGTGTTACCAGATTTCTTTTTGTTATAAGATCATTTTAAGTATGAAATCTCAGAAACTTTTTTTCATTTTTGTGTGTTAGCCATGCATTGTATTCTGTCTTTCACATGAAGTTTCATGTTATAGTATGTTTAAATGCTAATTGTTAAGTGCTAAGTCATTAGTATTAATAATTTCGATCATTGGTGTTACAGTTGAGTCAGTGGAGTAACCAACCTAAAACTTGTTATTTTTTACTTTTAATAAGTTTAAATGTAAGAAATGACTTTATATTACCTAATTTCACTCCTTCAAAAAAGTCATAAATTATGTTATTTTGAACTGTACACACATGGCACCACATTTACAGCATCTTTTAGTGTGTGTCTATTTATTTTTGTCTCATGTCAATGTCCAAATATGATTGATAACTTAATTTTCATCACTGGACAACGATACTTTTGTACTTATCTGTAAACTTGAATAATCCTAGTACATGTTTATCAAGGCTTGCATTCATAAGTTTTTTAATTGATTCTACACAACAAAATTTTATAAGGTAACACCAATGACAGAAAAACACAATTTGGTAACTTTTACGAGAAAATTCTGAAAAAAATCACAGGTGCTTGAGGACAGGACCCCCCCCCCCCCCTTCGATATAGACCCCTGGGCTTTTTCTATTTTTTTCTCATAAAAAATCTTCCATTGCCATATTTGTGATATGATCTATACCAGCAAATCGAAAAATTACCTAAAACAAACGTTCTATTAAATCTACCCTACATTCTCTATATAAAAATCAACGTTAATTTATATACAGAGAGGGTAGATATTTTTATAAAATATAAGTTTAAGCAAATTTTCTGAATTGATAGGATAGATTATATCACAAATGTGTCATCCATATATAATTTATGTGAAAAAAGTCTAACAGGCCCGGGGGTCTATATTAAGGGGGGGGGTTCCTGTCCTCAAGCACCTGTGAAAAAAATAGCTTCCCTACTGTTTGCTAAATGTTGTTTTCCCAAAATATTGTGCAGCTTTATCAATTTAGATACAAAAAAAGAAACGGAAATATTTAATTGTATCTCCAATTTTCATATGAACCATTTAGCTGCTTTTTTTATATTGACCCATATATTGATAGACCGGAGAGCTACAGAGCCACCCATTGAAAAAACTGTATATTTATTGCGCACAAAAAATGCGCTCGGTTATCGATTTATTTCTCCATGTTTTTCAAGCTGTAATCTCAAAATATTACTAACCGTGTGTTCCTAACATATTCTTTGACTCTTTCCACAACAAAACATTCCTCATAATTGTTGTTAATAGTCCTCCTGGCCCTGATATTGCAATCTTCGGACATTTCGCTTATTTATACTGCCATTTTGGTTTCAAAGATAATTCGATCCAAAATGCTTCGTTCAGATGTCAACTACGAGAGAACTTGATAGACGAAAGAGTAATTTTTTGAAATCTTCCATTTTTTGCAATTGAGGTAAGAATTTGGAAAAATTAATCAAGAATCGAGCGCACTTTTTTGTGCGCAATAAATATACAGTTTTTTCAATGGGTGGCACTGTAGCTCTCCGGTCTATCAATATCTTTTTTTCGGAGAGCTACAGATCTGCAGCTAATTAAAAGTCCGTGTTTGCCCTGCTCCTATAATTTGTACTTGCTGTTTGAATGAACAAATGAGCTTGAATACTGTTTTTATCCCCATTTCCTTTCTTCAAAATCTGGTTCCCTTATATCTTCTTATTCTCGTATTTTAGTATTACCCTATTCATGCTATTCGATGTATTTTGAAGTGTTATTGGTCGGGTCTATCAAACTGGAAAATTAATTCACTTAAAATTAAGCATCCTTACTCATTTTCCGCATCTATATACTTTTAATACCGCTATATCCCGTTATCGAAGTCCAAGATGCTCTGTATTTCCTATTATACGCCCTGTAGTTCGATCAAAGATGCACTGTGACAGAGTTTAATTATATAACTGTTACAGACATCGATGATATGTAAATAATTATCACCATAATTACAGATTAAATGAAAATTTTCAAAAATCACGATTTCCACTTCAGTGAATTACATACACCTCACTTAGGAGTACAACTTGTCAAACAATCCTCGTATCAATCACTGAATCCCGTTTTTATCGCCACCCAATGAATCCCTGACTAAATTGAAAATGGCAGCAAGAGACTTCATTATCAACCTCGAAGCTTATTGGATATTTCTTCACTATTTATTAAGTATTTCATTGGAAAAATCGGGAAAAAATGAAAAATAATCCTTCCATAAAAATATACTATACACATGTACATTATAAGAGAGAATGTATAGTGGGGTGTTTTGTATGGAACGAGTATTTTCCACTTTTTCCCGCTTATGCCTGTGGTAAACTTAATGAATAAATGTAATACATATAATTTGTGAAGAAATATCCTACAAGCCCTGGGGTTGATATTTTATCGGGGGGGGGGGGATGTCAACAAGTACCTGGGTTGTCTATATGACGTTAAAAGTCTGCATATATAGTCTTTAATATATCGTGGGGAATAGTTAAATAAAAAACAATTCATGCTATTAATCTGGTATAATTATACCCCCCGCTTGAAAAGTGAGAGGATATACTGTAATCGGTATGTCCGTCCGTCCGTCTGTTACGCTTTGGGGTACCCATGTATGCATCGATTATCCGCAACTCCTATTATATACCACTGAATGAAATTTGTTGAAACTTTCACAGATTCTTTATTAAATATTGCCTTTGTGCACCTCCTATTTTATTTTTTGATCTGACACATATTTTGGGTTTGCCACGACAAAACATGGACACTGCCATTATATTCATATGGGAGGCGGCGTATTATTTAGTGAGCTCATTGCTCACAGTACCTCTATAATAGTTATTTTGGGTATTTCAATCTTTCTAAACGTACATGTACTTCCGTTGGTTTTTAAGTATCTGATTAAACTGATATGTCGATATTTAAACAATAAAATGTCTTTCTTTCTTTGTTATTTAAACAATAAAATGCTTTCTTTGTTTGTTGTTACTGGAATGAACGGAAGCAGCTGTTGCAGAAATAATACATAACCCGCGTAAGCGGGTTATGTAAATTTTTTCTGCAAACGCTGCGACCGTTCATTCCAGTAACAACAAAAAAAGAAAGACATTTTATTGTTTATATTTATATCTGCTTAAATTATCATTTTAAGTAGGATTAAAAATATTAATTATTGTGTTAATGATGCGAACGTCTTAACTATTGATGGAACGGCCACTGATCAAGAAATCTGTACAGGTGATATGCCTAATGTAGTTTATGCAGGGATGAACGCAGTGGGTTTTCTTATAAAATAAAGAAGAAAATATTCAGTGGATGTAAATATTACTGGAACGAACGGAAGCAGCTGTTGCAGAAAAAATACATAACCCGCGTAAGCGGGTTATGTAAAGTTTTTCTGCAATAGCTGCGACCGTTCATTCCAGTAATAACAAACAAAGAAAGACATTTGATTGTTTATATTTATATCTGTTTAAATAATCAATTAAAGTAGGATTAAAAAGATTAATTATTGTATTAATGATGCGAACGTCTTTATACGTTTCATTGATGGAACAGCCACTGATTAAGAAATCTGTACAGGCGACATGCCTACTGTAGTTTATGCAGTTGTAAATTTTGTATTTACGGCCACCCGGTAAATTCCAAATTTACAACATGACACAGTGATGAACGCAATGGGGTTTCTTAAGAAATAAAGGAGAAAATATTCAGTGGATGTAATTATATACACATATTATACTTTTAAATCGGAAATACTTTTTTTTTTTTTTTTAAAAATCGATGTTCTACAAGTATCAAGAGCTGTAGATTCTTAGAATTTAAACTTTTATTGCTGGGAAATTCACTTGCATAACGTTAACTTCCGTAACGATATTTTTCCCGAAATTTTAACTCAATTTCAGATTCACGCGAGACTTGTGAATCATGCTTTAGTGTTCTATTCTCAACATCAGAAACAAAAATTGGTCAAATTTAGCTTTATTAAAAAATAATAAGACTTGAAGAAGCTATGAATTAACTTTCGATCTTTACATTATACCTTATGATCAATGGAATATTTTTTTTTTTCAAATTCACTTAAATTATATCAGAGAATTTTTATGTTCATTTTGCTTTTTGAAACAATCATCCACCTATGCTTTACACTATGAATTGATCTATTTAATGTGGAATGTCTGAAATTCTATGGTCGACACAATGTCCTTGTCAAAAAGAGTTTTATCAAAATTATTGGGATGATTTGTATGAATTTAATGATTCATTCAGCTTTTATAACCAAAATTTAAGCTTAGGGAGAGATTTGTTGGTAAGTCAAATGCTGGCTGATGTTTTTCATACCAATTGTTATACCATATATCATATAATTAAATCATGTGAGACTTCGTCATAAATTTATGATTTATGAGAGAGGCGCGAAAAGGCGCTGCTCATCTTTAAAGCATCGGGTTCAACATTCCGTAATTCGGGAAGTTTAAACATGGATTCCTCCGTCGCGGGGAAGATGTCGGTGATACAGATTGGGATTCTAACAGGTAATGTCTCCCATAAAATAATTCAGGAGTAGCAGGAATTCAGGAATTGATTAGATGAACAGTCCTGACTAAATGACAAACGGAAAAAATATCATACAAAGAAAACGAAAGTAGATTGCGCACGCTGTTTACATTTTACATGTAACTATATAAGGTCATTCATGGGTCTACTTTGTCTCGGTTGGGTACAGGCAGTTTTCCAACAACAAAGTTGCATTGAATGGACAAAAAACTTTGACAAAGGTCATTTTATACCTTTGGCTTTACATCTTTAGTTTGGAGAAGTAAATAGGTCCAGTCCAAAGACTATTTCTACCTATGTACATACGTAGCTAATATGTTGACGGTGCGACCGTTAGAGCGAGCGCAAACTCTTCTATTGTTTTCATTTAGATCGGGCTCGTCAAACCGCACGTGACATTTGGTGCGTCTAGACTCTGACGTCACATGACGTATGTAAGTCGCAATATACCGAGAAAAAGCCTGAACAGTGCTGAAAGTTAATGAAGAACGTTTTGTTTTCTATTATCTTCAATATATATCCATTAAATCAAGGCGAGTAAACTTTTTGTTGAACATTTGCCGTGATTCTCGCGAGAACGTAGCTAAAACAAGTGATGCATTGTGGGTCCAAATTACTGCATCAAAAAAATCTATCGAATGAATGTGCAGAAGACCGAATTTTCTCTTCGCACAGGCGTTGCTTTAAGAGCTCCGCCTCACTGCGCTCGCTATTAATAGCTTTGTAGGTATCTAAACCTACCAAAAATAGCTATTTTTACCTACTTTTTGTATTATCTGCATTTTGTGACCAAAAGAACAAACGGCGCTACATGGCAAATACCATATACTGTAAACGTATTACATTTGGCTGTGTATTCTTTTTGGCGCTTTTGGGGGAAAGAAACATCAGCTAATTCAAGTACATGTACAACGCTAAATGTCTTGCGCATGTATTCATAAATAACAACATTTAGAAATGCGCTAAATCAAATCTACGCTAACTTGTTGAAAAATCAATTTCCGCCAAATATTGTACACATAAATATATTACATTTACAGTATTTTGATACAGTCACACTAATGATGAATACGATGAAATTTTGGCCAAAAAATGATTACTTCCTAAATCTTCAATTTTACATTAATTTCTATGCAAAGTTGTTAATTCATGAAGTAATCATTTTTTGGTCAAATTTTTGTCATATCCATCATCAGTGTGACTGTTTTAAGAAATATGGTACTCACCATGTTGCGCCGTTCAGCTGTTTGGCCACAAAATGCAATTAATGCAGAAAGTAGATAAAAATATCTACTTTGGGTAGGTTTAAATACCTACGTAGCAATTAATAGCTACGTAGGTAGAAATAGTCTTTGGACTGGACCTGGTAAATAGTAAATAGTAGCCTGCAAATTTTGTCCAGAAGAATTTTTTAGTTTTATTGATACTGATCACTCCATTGGTAATGATTTTTGATGTGAATATTTGAATTCTTCAAACTCTTTCTGCATCAATTCTATCATTTCTCTTTTATTTGGGGGGGGGGGGGGGGTTATCAGATTTTTACCTTTTATAGTCATGATAATAGAATTTTTTGTTCCACAGAGTGATTTACAAAATAAGATGATCAATGTAGTTGCTATTGTTATTACATTAGTCATTAGTGAATGAGTTTAAGTCACGTACATATAAGGCGTTGTTTCCCTTGTATTTCAGTCAGTGACAGGTGCTACAGAAATGAAGCAGTGGATGAAAGCTGTAAGAACCTGTTTGTGTTAATTCACGACCAAAAAGTGTAAGTATATACCATGTATACTGTAAATGTACAAAATTAAGTCTAAGTATACTGTAAATGTACAAAAATAAGTCTAAACATACTGTAAACATACAATAAAGGAAACGCTCAAAGTTGGGTGCAATTTTATTGTACTGATTCATGCTAATAAATTATGAAACAGGGCTCTCGATTCTCTATATCTGGGGTGGATATTCGGCCCCGTTCCCAATGCAAAAAAGGTACCTTTTTTCCCAAAAGAAAGGTGTAAATTTCCCAATTTCCATAGCAAAATATAATTAAAAAATAAAAGTCCATGAAACTAAATCTCAAAAAAAAAAAAACCCAAACTAAACAAACTTGCAAATGAAAGTGAAACTGTACTACTATTTTAATAGTTCGTGCCAAATGCATTCATAAACTGGTTCGGGGAACCAGGTTATTGTTTTTACAAAAATATGTACTAACTATGAGAGCCAGGGGATGACAAATCCCATTAAAAGAACAGGGGGTTCAATATTTTATGGCCATAATATTTTGAACCCCCTCCCTGTAAAATTAAATGGGCAGGGGGACTCAATATTTTATGGCCATAATATTTTGAACCCCCTCCCTGTAAAATTAAATGTGCAGGGGGACTCGATATTTTATGGCCATAATATTTTGAACCCCCTCCCTGTAAAATTAAATGGGCAGGGGGACTCGATATTTTATGGCCATAATATTTTGAATCCCCTATCTCTTGAATTAAAAGGACAGGGGGACTCAATATTTTATGGCCATAATATTTTGAACCCCCTCCCTCTTAAATTAAATGGGTAGGGGGACTTAATATTTTATGGCCGCCATAATATTTTGAACCCCCTCCCTGTAAAATTAAAAGGGCAGGGGACTCAATATTTTATGGCCATAATATTTTGAACCCCCTACCTCTTAAATTAAAAGGACAGCTAGGGGGACTCAATATTTTATGGCCATAATATTTTGAACACCGGGTTCAATATTTTATAGGGGGGTTCAATATTTCGCAGCGATATTTTGAACCCGGGTTCAAAATATCGCGGGGTTCAATATATTATATGACACCGGGGCTAGTGAATTTTAGGGGTGGGCAAGTGAAATTTTATCAACCACTTGCCCGTGGGCAAGTGACTTATCAAAAAAAGAATTTATTTGTATTCCATAAATATTAAGCTGGGCATAGGGGCTTGCATGATTTACTAAGCATTTGTCTTCCTCTTTTTTTGAAATATCTATAAATACAGAATTAGTTTATGGTAGGGCAAGCAAAAATTCAGGTAGGGCAAGTCAACTTTTACCATGTACTTGCCCTTGGACAAGTGCCTTAAAAATCTATTTGTCAGCCCCTGAGAGCAGAGTATTTTGTCATGTAGTTTCAATGAAAAACATCATATTGGTTTCAAAAATAGACATTTCATTTAAACATTAGTAAGCTGCACCTAGAAATATACCCACGCTTTGGCATGTGCAGTCTCGCGCTGTTTTGGTAAGCAAAATTGTCCATGTGATCGAGGAAATTCGGGACTACTTGACTAGCGACTGTCACTCAGAAAGACATATAACGGCAATTATCAACACTCAAAGATAGTAATGACAAAGCTAATGTACTTTGAAAATTCATAAATAGCCTACGTACCCATGTTTGTTCTGTTTAACTGTTTATTCAAAACCAGAGTTAAATTGATGACAAAATACTAGAAAAGCAAAATTTTGAGGATTTTTTTAATGAATTTTAGTTATCCAACTTTTCCCAAATTGACGATAATTTTCCCAGTTTGAACGGCCCCGGCCCCAGTCCCAAAATGTGATGTGAGAGCCCTGTGAAATCATACATCATTCACTTGTCCAATTTTAAAAACAACATGTTTTATTTTTAATGTACTTGAATTAGTGAACAAGAAGCAATACAAAAGCACTAATATACAATCTGATCCTGAAATTTTCATTTAAAACTATGTTAGTTATTCACACATGTTTATCATGTTTGCCATATGTTTACAGAGATGGTTAAATTTTCTAAAAATAAATCTCAAAGACATTTTGACAGAGTGTATCAGTCAAAAGAAAGGTCTGTCTATCTGTGTTCTTTATTTTAATTGTTCTGCAATTTTTAAAAGATAATCATTCATCTGGACTGAAATGTCTAAGGATTTCATCAGTCCTTGCCATTTTTTTTAGACATTTTCCTGTCATCTCTAAGTCCTGAAAACTCTTGTAAAGTCTCCTTAAAATATGTAGCCCTGTTTCTCCTGAAAATAAAGATATGTCTTAAATTTTCATATATGTAATTAAAAGAAAAGAAATTCAGGTAGTCCAGTGTAGGTGTCTGCTTTTAAAGGGTTCTGCAGTATATTAATGTAATGGTCTAGCTGTGATTTACAGAATCCCGGGGCGTGTGGTGGTGACTAAGATTGTCCCTGATGAGGAGGAACAGATCAAGTCGACGCTGGTCGAGTGGAGCGATAAACGGAGACTGAACCTCATACTGACCACGGGAGGGACAGGGTTCTCCCCCCGAGATGTCACCCCGGAGGTAAGAATGTGTGTTAATGGTTTATGTTAGGAAATATTTTTATACGCCCGTCTTCAGACGGGACGTATTATGTTATAGGCTTCGTGTCCGTCCGTCTGTCCGTCTGTTAGCTTTTTCGTTTCCGGCTCATAACTTTAATACTATTAGGCCTAGGATTATCAAACTTTGTCATCTGATGCGTCTTGGGTAGAAGGTGTGTCGCGCACAAAAAGTAGGTCGCTCTGACCTTTAATTAAGAAGTTAGAGCCAAATATGGAAAAATCCTTTCCGGCCCATAACTAGAAAACTATTAGACTCAGAGTCATCAAACTTGGCCAGTTTATGCATCTTAGGTAGAAGGTGTGTCGCGGCCTATTTCAAGGTCACTGTGACCTTTAATTTAAGTGATTTTTTTTAAAAAACTAAGTCTTTAAAATTTTAAATTTCATAATCCTTAAAAATGCAAAAATATAGTTGTATCCTTGTTTAAAAATGTTAAATCAAGTAAAAACTTATTTTTTCATTATATGCTTTAAAGCAATCTGTAACAAATGTTAATGTTTTGAGAGGAATTTAGTTTGTCCCATGGGCATAATTATCAAGCACTGGTCAAGAAGAATTTTGATAACAGAAATAGAGAGAAATTAATGAGTTTATTGTCAGGCGCTAAGTGGTAGAGCAGATCTCTGAAAATGCAGCTGTTATCTTTATCTTTAATCTCTTGGGAGTTGGGCAAAAAGAAATGGCCTCATAGTTGCTTGTGTTCATTAAGAGTTCTTGATGGCTAGTTCAGAAAAAGATCTTTCAATTGGTGTAATGTAATTAAAACAAATTGATGTTTAATGTATGATTAAAACTAAATTAGTATTGTATAATATAATGATAACTAATTATACATGTGTTCATTGAAATAAAATTACCGAGATACATTTCAATTTTTATATATTTGCAACAAATTGCAGTCACCATGCCTCACTTAGAATTTTATAGTCTAAAGAATAATTTATTTTTGTTTTTTTTTATTAGACTGTAGCATTTCCATTATTCCATTAAATATGCAATAAACAATTTAAGCTGCAGATGGATATTTGTTAAGTTCTAACACAGCCAGTTTAGAATTATATGATGTATTATTTGTTATAATTAATTCCTACACTGTAAGTCTCTTAGAGATGTATGTACAATATTTTAAACATGATAAGAAATGGAAATTAGATCATTGAAATCTGTGTCAATCTGTTAATCAAGGTTATCTGATTTTTTTGCACCGTTACCAATTTATGATTATTGAACAATATATTTGACGGGCGTATCATGCTGTGGCGGGGCACTTTATTTTTAATATTGAAAGGACCATAAGAAAGAGATGGCAAAACTGTATGAATTTGTTTTACAAGTGTACCTAAAACAAAATATTAACAAATCATTTATAAAAGCAAAGTTTAAAACTAAATACATGGTAGTGCATTCTAGATTACATGTATATATGCAGATTTTCTTCTTACAATACTTTTGTTATCCCCCCTCCCCTCCCCAAAAAAATCCTATATCATTGTTAGATAATAAGAGTTATCTTTCCTACAGCATTAAAGCACTTTCATGTCAATTCTGTGTTATAAGCAGTTTTTTCTTCGTTGAAGGCCACCAAGTCCGTCCTTGAGAAAGAGGCGCTAGGAATGACCTTGGCCATGTTGAAACAGTCATTAGAGGTCACGCCATTAGCCATGCTGTCCAGGTAGGTCAGGAGAAGGGGGATGGGGGTGGGGTCAACATCCATTGGAAACATCTCAGTAAGTGTTTAGGTGGTCACCAATTATTAGCACTGAAGGAATCCAGGTAAGGCCTTGGGGGGAGGGGGGGGGGGAGTGGGGGGATAGGGATGTCATTGCCATTTATTAGAAATGAAACCATATTTAAACTGTAAAACTTCTCATCATCAACAGTCTTATGCATTTACCGACATTGTAGCTTGATTTATAATGATTTATAAAATTTATATTTTAGGTTGGTCTGTGGAATAAGAGGCAGTACACTCATAATCAATCTACCAGGAAGTGCCAAAGCTTCGGAGGTCTGTTTTTGTAGCAGCTCAGATGTTAAACTAAATCAGAATCTCAACTGAGTTTATTTTAAGAATTTTAAAATAAACAGTCAATCTTCAATTACAAAGACAAACTTGATATGAAATTTTCTGTTTTATTACTCGATATAACTTTTCAAAAGATTCTTGCCATGTTTGTGGCAATTTTTCAAGATTATTTATGAAAGATTTACAGTAATTCTACATAATATCATACTTATGTATTATATATTTACAGAAATATCTACAATTTGTATGCTGCTTGAATTATTTTTAACAGGAATGTCTATGATTTGCCTACCACAATAGTTATATTCACAGGAATATCTACAAAATTCTCTGCCACTTTACTTTATATATTTACAGGAATGTCTATAACTTGTCACAAGAGTTATATTTAAAGGAATGTCTATAACTTGTCACAAGACTTATATTTACAGGAATGTCTATAACTTTTCACAAGACTTATATTTACAGGAATGTCTACGATTTGTCTGTCACATGCCTATATTTACAGGAATGCCTACGGTTTGTCTCTCCGGGGATTCCTCATGCTGTTGACTTACTCAGGGACAAAACAGAGGAAATTCTGACTACCCATGCTGCCCTCCAGTCCAGAGGAGTAGAGATACCTACTGCAGTAAGTCCAGTGTTGTAGATATTGTAGGACTGCTAGGGCTATGTGTCAAAGATTGTAGCAGCTATGTACACATGTATCAAAGACAGTGCTACAAAGCTAGATGAAGATCTAGACTAGCCCTATGTTTACAAATATAATTTATATTCTGATGTTTTCAGTATATGTAGATACCTTGCAAAGAAGACAGTAACTAACTATTAGACCAGAAATCGATCCTGGTTAAAAACTGTCATAAAGGTGTGTTTTGGTAAAATTGAATCAGAATTTCAAGAAGTTGACCAGTAGAAAGTGGTCAATAAAAAGCCTGACACTTTGAAGGTAAAAGAAGATATTTCTGGTAACAGAACATGATATTGTAATAGGATTCCAGATGCCTTTCTCCCATGTTGTACACGAGAAGCATTAAGTCATTAATTGTGACTATAGAGTATTGCTGCAGATATAATCTGTTTCTTTGTATAAATAATATCATGAAGAAAGTGTGTAGTGTCCCCTACAATTAAGGTTTAAGACTGCTTGCTGGTTTGTCAGAAAAGAAAGTTTTATATACTTCAAATGAACAAGAAAATGAAATAATTGAAACTAAAAAAGAGTACAAAAGAAGAAGATGAATACTCATCATGCTTATAAATGGTTTTATATCATATACTGTGAAATCACAAAATTTCATGGGGGTTAATTTTCGTTGTTTTCGATGTGTGAAGACACCCACAAATTCATGTCCACCACAAAATGTAAAATATTACATACAAAACTACTCAACAATTCTACATCTACGAATCCCCATGAACCAAGAGTTTTTACTCAAACCATGAAAATTTGACCTCACGAAAAAAATATGTGATTTTACAGTATATGGAGAGAGTTAGGATTTTTATCCATAGATCATTGAATGGTGTTGATAGTGAGATGTGACATGTTTTTCTGGTTTTCATGGTTATCACATTCTACTCCTTACAACTGTGGATGTACCGGTATATATATCCCAAAGATTATAACAGTGGATGTATATACAGTGGACCCTCATTTATCCAGACGCTTTGGTTCCTAGTCTATTTGTCTGGATATGTGAAGTGTCGGATACCTGAATTACCAGTTAAACAGGAAAAATTAACGTGTAAAAGATTCTGTTCTGATGAAAAATTGTCCGGATACTGAAGCGTTCGGATATCTGAAGATCCACTGTATCCCAAAGAATATAATTTTTATATCCATGATTTTGATACATGAATCAAAGTGATTTTTTAAGAATCTCCCAAGGAATGTGGCTCTTTTTTATCCAACTTGTAATGACAGGGATAAAAAATCACACAAAACGCCCCCAGATACATGTAGTGGTTGTTGTTATCAAAGGTGATACCACCCATACTCATAAGAGCACTAGCTAGTGGATTAAACTTTATATGAAATATTTAGCTCAGCAGAGCATCAATTTTAAAATGCGAGGGTTTAAGGTTCAAGCCACATTGTTGGTCACCCAAATGGCTTATTAGTATGTTTGAAATGTGCATGTTACATGCATCAGGTTACCCAGTACATATTTGTATTGGAAACACAAGACAAGGATTAAACACTTGACAAGGACAGTGGGTTTATGGACCTTCTGCTGTATCCAACCATTTAAATTCTGCCCAATGTTATTTTCTTAAACTACTATAAAATCACATATTTTCATGGGGTCAAATTTTCGAGGTTTGACAAAAAAATATTGGTTTGTGGGGATTTGATTTCAACATGTTCATGGTTGGAGAAATATTTAGTAATAATGCATATGAAATTTTCCATTTCAAGGTAGTCATGAATTTGAGGGTTACTCCTTACCTTGAAAACAACGTAATTCAAACCTCCACGAAAATTTGTGATTTCACTGTATATAAAGGCGCTATATTAAGGGATTCAATATATGTCTTTCATGTACCTGAAATAGATTGTGGAATGTTGTATGACAAAGCAGTTTCAAACAGGAAACACAAAATCAACCAAAAATGGCATAACAGGTTGGAAAACGAGAAAATATTATTATCAAGCTTCAGTAAAGAAAAGAAGTGTTATTTAATTGACTACATGTAAATAAAAACAGCTTGAATAATTTTTTTCTGTACAATTATTCATTTTTTCCTGTCAACATTGAAAATATTTGACATTTCAATGAACATTTTGAACTGAGAATTTTATAAAACAAACAGTTTAGTAGTTGGTATGGCTAATTTAACCAGTAGTCTTTAATTTATTCTACATCATTTGTTGCTATTTTTGTTTATGCAGGGCTAAAAAATAAAAGAGTTCTATACACAACACCTGGCTCTTAAATCATAATTATAAAAGAAAACTTTCTCATAGAGATGTTTTTTAAAGATTTAGACAGTATAAGAAAAGACAAATTAATGATAGTAAAAATATCTTTATGCGTTCAAGCATTTAATTTAAAAAGGATTTTATTAAGTCTGACTTTTAAGATTTTTTTTGATAGGAATTAATTGTGGAACATTTTAAATTTCCTAGGTGAAGGGAAAAGGCTCACAAAACGAAACAATAGGTGTGTGTCGGCGGGAGGTGGAAAAGTCGCTGGATAACCGAATTCAGAAAACGCCATTTTACCGAACACGACCTCAAAGAAAAATCCAGTACTCACCGAAATCCAACACAATCTCTGTTATCAACTTAAACAGGAAGGAAACTTTTACGACCGAATTGTCCAAAAAACGCGACTCGTACGCCCCCGCCGACCAAAATCGGCGTGATGTTTATGGCATGGGTGTAGAAAATATGAATAATAAAACGGTAGATGAAATAAATTCTAATAAAAATTCGTCATATCTTGGACAGGAAACGGAAGTCCAAGAGGAAGCTCTTACAGAGCGACCTCTGTCGTCTCTGGGTTCGATAAAAAGTCTTGATTTTATGGGAAGTTTGCCAGATTTGACAAACGACGAATTTCTTCTTGCTGGTCCTCCAAGCGTGCAGAGCATCAGAGTGGAAAGTCCAGCCAATAGTTTAATAAATGTGAGAACCAATGAAGCGAGCATAGCAATGTTAGAAAGACCTGTACCGCCCTCATTCGCAATTCCTAAAATCCCTTCCCTGGACGAAGCTAGGAATGACGCGCAAAGGATCATGGGAAAAGACATTTCGTCTTGTTTCGAACCAATAGAGAAGAACCGGATGGATTTCTTTGAGTCTGATTCCGATGAAGACATCGATATATCGTCTCAACGAGGCCATTCTGACGGAGAATCAACTATACCCTACGCAGACGAAAGCGAGGATGACGTCACACAAGACGACCAGGAAACTCAGACAGATGACGCAAACGTCTACGATTTTGATAAAGAGGCAGACATAATGAGTCCACCAGCTTCCAAAATCGTAAAACGGAGCATGTCACAAACCCGCAAAATACGGAAACGGATGGACAAAAGATTCGGATTTTTAGGCGCCAAACTTCACAAGTCATCGATGTACGGTGAGGTAAACTTTGTCGACGTTGGCGTAAAAGTTGAAGAATTCCTAAAAGAACATCCCCTCATACAAGGAATTTACCTCAACAAAGGGAAAAGGGCTGTAAAGAAAAATTACGTCACTATGTGTCGTCAGAAGAATGTGAAGGAAAACACAAAGTTGACCTGGAAGCGAGGAAGCCAGAAACAGGACAGGAACAGCTTGGACGATTACTTTGAATACACAGAGGAGGGGCAGGCCCGGAAGTCCAAGATAGAGCGAAAGTTGGTTCGAGACGAGTATGTGGTCAGCTGGTACATGTGGTGTCCAGGTCATGGGAACTGTGTTCGGAAGTGTGGTGGGCGTGGCAAATGTGTCCCAGGTATTGGATTTCTAAGAATCATTAATTAATTATTAAACATGTGCGGATTACAGGTACGAGACTTTTTGACATTGATATGAATTAAACAATAAAATGGATTGCTTCATTTGTTTGTTAATACGGGAAATAATGTCGCAGCTCTTGCAGAAAAAATACATAACTCGCATTCAGTTTTTTCTCTTTGTTTTTCAGGATGTCGAGGCATGCAACATAAGCAGGACCGTCATAACTGTAAAGTGATGCTCATCTTCAAACTTTTCCTTAGCGATCTGACAAAATGGCGGGTACAGATCACGGGACTTCACGTTCCTAAAGACAGCGTCTGGCTTCCGTCATTTTCTCCGGACCAAGATGGCTGGGATAGTTCTTCAATAGAAGGGACTCGCAAACCTTCAGGGAGAACAATTCGAGAAAGTCCCACAACGACTTCTTACCAGGTATCCAGCAGAAGAAATGGGCCACATAACGAAAGTTATATAAAAGGGACCGAGAATCAAACTTCTAGTCAAGGGGGAGAAAAGGGCAATACCCACAATCCTTTGTTAGGTGTTCAAGGAAAGGGAGATAATCCCTCTGATCACCTACAGATGGCGCCCCCTGTCATTTTTGGTTCTGTCTCCCAAAACGACTTGAATAGAGACATGTTTTCGGAAAGTTCTAGTCAGATGTTAGGTCTCTCCCCTAGTCTGCTTCCTGAACCGATCACAGAGGCCGAGGCTAACCAGAAAATCATGGAATGGATTACTGAAGCTGAACCAACCGGAAGTGACGCTTCCATTCCTAGGCTACCGGCATTTGACCCGCAGTGATATTATTGAAGAGTGAAAAATAGATAGAAGTGCTACATTTTACGAGTTTTTTTCCAGATTCATATTTACTCGAACTTAAAAAAAATCTTAGTGCCATATTTTGACGAAAATGAAATTTTGTGTGCCATATTTGAATTGATTATATAAGAAAATGAGAAATAGTGCCATACCATTTATTTTAAATTAAAATTTTAAATTTAAAAAAACCTTATTCACTGTATTTAGTGCCATATCTCTTTAAATTATAAATTAAACATTTTTTTTACGGTAATAGTCTCATAATCATGGTAATGATTAATAAATCATATTAATGCAATTGCTTTATTTTACCATGTTAGCATTAACCTGGAAAGATAACTTTAAATTTTGAAATAGAAACAAGGCTATGTCTCATTGACCACTGTCAGCATTATATTACACATGTATACATAATAGATCTAAATGGATTGAAATAACTTGCCTCATTGGACCTGACTGTCTTTAAATTTTTAGCAAGATAACCGTCCAGTTTTTGTGCATTAAATGATGGAGCTTCCCGGTACGTGTATTTCAATTGATTATTTTTCTGGTGAACAACTAGTCGATATTTTTTTAAAAATCTGATTGTTACATGTTGATAGCTATACAAATGTGGAGTAGCGAATCAAGTAATGATTTAAATAGATTAGATGAGCCTTTAGTTTTGTTTTACATGAGCATGTACAATGTACCTGCCTTAAAAATGACTTACTTTTAATGTAACATTAGTGTTTTTCTGCTGTAAATTTATTTTTAAAAACTAGAATTTTTCATTTGTGAAATGATTGATGCAAATTTTATGATTTTTTGTCAACTGATTATACAATTTAATCAAATATAATTATTTTATTTTGATTTCCTGTTCTTTTTAGGAATATTTGATATAATCATCTTGATGACTTTATTGTGCTTTTTGATTAATTAAGTCCGCAGCTGAAATGATGTTGGTGTGTATTGTCAATATACAGTAGATAAAGTTACAGTCTGTGATCTGTAGGGGGTGTTGATGATTCACAAATTATGTTACTGATATTGTAAATACATGTATGAATCAGTATTGATGTTTTACTATCCTGATATTGCCAAAACTCTTACACCGTATAATCAACTAGTTTTTGTGGCGTTCAATTTTCAGGGTTTTAAGATATGAAGAGATTCACAAAAATATATCCTCCACGAAATGTAATATTTCACGTATAAAACAACTCAATAATTCATCATTCACGAAATTAATTAAATCCCCACAAACCCAATATGTTTTTTTCTTCAAACCCTGAAAAAAATGGGCCTTAAAAATGTATGTGATTTTACAAGAAAAAATGTATATTATGTTCAAATCTATACCGGTGTTTTAACAACAATGTATGCAATTATTTTCTAATTTCATTAATTTGCATTAAATTAATTAAAAATATTTAAAAGCACAATGAGTTTTTATTCAAATTAATGCTCACAGAAACCAAGATGAGGCAATCAATTAAATTGAAAGAAAAAATATTCAATTTTAAATATTGAATTTGAATATTTACTATCATCATAGAACTGAGAGTCGCGGATCAGCAGTTGAAGAATACAGCATTTTATATTAATTGTACACATGTATTATAATTAAAATTACATTTACAATTTGATACTTCCATTGGGAATATCTGTGTCATTAAGGTTCACTGTCCCCCTGATAAGAGAGATAACTCCTATTGAGAAAAAATAATATTTTTCGTTTAGGCCATGCACACCAATATTTTATTTCTTGTACGAGTCGGTGAACGACTCATACATATTAGGACGACTCTTACATATTATTCATCCTTTTTTTTTCGAAGGCACAATTTTTAGGCGGACACATGGAAAATTTTAGTGGACAATTATATATCAACTTTTTTCTTAATTGTAGAATAGGCAGATTCAAAATACGAAAATATGGGGGATAGAAAAGAAATAAGCACACATATTTTCCCGGGTTGGGGTAATTTAAGCTCTTATTGCTTAAATAGAGAGCACGCGGTTCCGACGAGCAAAAAAAAATCGTTTTGGCCTTAAAGCTTATAAATGTCAATTTTAAAAGATCACTTCTGTCATATATTGCAAGGCATGGTAAAATTGTTAGCATTGTGAATGTAAATTACCATTTTCTTTCCTTTTCTGTAAAGCCCAGGGTGTTGTATGCGTTCAGCAGTTTTTTTTATGGTTTGAGAAAAATGCAAATATGGGTCTGCTGAACCTTAATTTAAATGTGATACACTGTTTATGTATAGTAGGTTATTTTTTTCTTTGCTATATAGCATTAAATCACCGCTGATAGCGTAACATAATTAAAAAGAAAAGAAAAAGGAAATTTTATTTAGAAAACTTCCGCATTTGCAACCCACATCGGAGAAATGTAAGTGAGAGGTAAAAATATTGGTTTTTCTAATTAAAAAATATCGTGCTTACTCATCGTAAATCGGAGAAGAAAATCATTGCCTGTAAATGAACGATTGTAAGCGCATTACAAAATGATGCAGATTAGATTAAAATTTGTATTTTCTTCGGGTTTTTTTTAGCTCACCTGAGCCGAAGGCTCAAGTGAGCTTTTCTGATCACATTTTGTCCGTCGTCCGTCCGTCCGTCTGTCTGTCCGTCCGTCTGTCCGTCTGTCTGTCCGTCTGTAAACTTTTTACATTTTCGACTTCTTCTCAAGAACCACTGGGCCAATTTTGACCAAACTTGGTATAAAGCATCCTTGGGTAAAGGGGAATTTAAATTGTTAAAATGAAGGGACATATCCCCTCGCAAGGGGAGATAATCAAGAAAATAGAAGAATAGGGTTGGGTCATTAAAAAATCTTCTTCTCAAGAACCACTGGGCCAGTAAAACTGAAACTTAGGTGGAAGCATCCTGGGGTAGTGTAGATTCTAAATTGTTCAAATCATGACCCCCGGGAGAAGGGCGGGGCCACAATGGGGAATCCAAGTTTTACATAGAAATATATAGGAAAAATCTTTGAAAATCTTCTTCTCAAGAACCACTGGGCCAGAAAAGCTGAAACTTATGTGGAAGCATCCTGGTATAATGTAGATTCTAAATTGTTCAAATCATGACCCCCGGGGGAAGGGTGGGGCCACAATGGGGAATCAAAGTTTTATATAGGAAAAATCTTTGAAAATCTTCTTCTCAAGAACCACTGGGCCAGAAAAGCTGAAACTTATGTGGAAGCATCCTGGTGTAGTGTAGATTCTAAATTGTTCAAATCATGACCCCCGGGGGAAGGGCGGGACCACAATGGGGTATCAAAGTTTTACATAGAAATATATAGGAAAAATCTTTGAAAATCTTCTTCTCAAGAACCACTGGGCCAGAAAAGCTGAAACTTATGTGGAAGCATCCTGGTATAATGTATATTCTAAATTGTTCAAATAATGACCCCCGGTGGAAGGGCGGAGCCATTATAGGGGAATCAAAGTTTTACATAGAAATATATAGGAAAAATCTTTGAAAATCTTCTTCTCAGGAACCACTGGGCCAAAAAAGCTGAAACATATGTGCCCATGGAAGGATCATGGGGTAGTGTAGATTTCAAAATGTCTAAATTATGATCAGTGGGGTAGTGTGGGGATGCATTATGTATAACAAGGGGGAAATCTGGTAAAGAACAGAATGGTCAAAGCTTCTCAGGTGAGCGATGTGGCCCATGGGCCTCTTGTTTTAAATATATGTTATAAAGCGAGTGATATTGTTTGCTTAGCCGCATACTCATATACATGTAGTGTTACTGTAGATTCATGTTTGTTCAAAATTATGACCCCCCTTGGGATAGGGTCGTGCCAAAATGGGGAATAAAATGTTTACAAAAGAATATCTTTAAATTATTCTGCTCAAGAACAACAAAGTCACTTATTATATTAACATGGAAAAGGTCATTCGTGTTTCCCACACCCAATAAAAGATGTCGCCAAACGGCGCGACTGCAACTCAAGGGAATAACGCAAGAAGAAAACACGGTTGAAAATCGCTTCGATGTTATGCAATTTCTCATTACTGTTCTAGCCGAAAAATATTTCCATGGCATTTATTTGTCGGTTTCATAAACCCTTCAGAGCCGAAGATATTGTTCATTCATTAAAAATTATACTGACTTATGCGCAAGAATCTATTAGGTGCAATAAAAGCAAAAATGCCCCCGAGGAAATGTTCTTCATTTTGTGTGTTTTTTTCTCTCAATAGAACGTTAATCTAACTTTTTTTCATCCGTCAAATAATAACGTATTATTGATCATGGTGACTTGCAGTCCAATTTTCTTCTGTCGTTGATAAAGTTAAATTCGTAATTATTAACATTGCTAAACCATGTAAATTTATGTAGACCAAAAATCATGTATTCAACGTCTAAATAAAAATATTTTATTCAGCTTTAAAAAATAATCTACTTTTAAAATTTTATAGACCTATTATAGACTTCAATTGAAGCCTCTTGGTTTTTACGCCAGAGCCATGGAAATATTTCTTTCAATCTTCTATAAAATTGCATATTATAATAGAATCACTTAAATTCACAAAATTAATCCTTTTAAATTGGTCTAGCTTTTGATTAGTTGTTTGATTGTATGTTGTTTAACGTCCCGTTACCGTTACTGAGTTAGGGACGTCACAATTTACCGGTGAAGGGCTTCAAATTTCTCGGCACTAAGGGTTGATCGAGCAGTGAGGTATCTTTATCGTGCCAACGTCCGTCATGATACGGGGCCGCGGTTTCATGGTCTCATTCGAAGGACCCGCAACTTTCACTTTAAGGTGCCAAGCGCATGGCGGAGGAAGAGTTGCTTATCCACTAAGGTTTGTCGCGGCCGAGATTCGTACTCACAACCTTCCGATCACGGAGCGAACGCTCTATCTACCGAGCTACCGTGAACGGTTTTGTCTTTTGAAAGGCCCTGCATGTATACACATATTTTACCTTAATCTGCTACAGTATAATTGCTCTTACAAACCAGTGACTGAATCTAGCAGAATTGATTGTATTTGTTGTCTAACGTCCCTCTCAATTTTTTTTTGCATATTGTTTGACCTATATACTCGGTACTCAAGGCCATTCTTTCGTGCCCGCGCCTTCTACAACACGGGGCCTCGTTTCATAAAAACGATCTGCGACGAAGGACTAGTCTCCATGTCCCGTAATGAATAAATATATATATTTCAAGATTGATTCCCC